GAAATCCTTTATTTGGTTGTTTGCTTGCATGTCATTGAGAAATAAAACATGGATAACATCTAGAAAAATACTTACAAAAGGAAAATGACAACTATAAACTGCGGCAACTATCGGCAAGCCCACTACGGTGGGCTTAAATGGGTTAAATTTGCAGCTAACTTTTGTTTAGTTTTTTCGCCGTAGCACCACCTGAGCTTTCTAAGGCCATTTCTACCAGTGATGCTTGATTCAACAGGCTTGTTTGAGATGAGCAAAATCTGCGCAGAACCGATCACCGGTGATCACCGCGAGATGCATGCCGGTTAGAAAAGTGTCCGAGTTACGTCCGACTTGCTCTGATGTCATGCTGCCGTGTGCCAAAAAACTCTCGCGATGGCGAGGCGGCTGTGTCGGATTGTGCAGTCGAGCGCAGTTGCTCTCCACCGACTGCGCTGATCAAAAGCATGATGGGAAACGACTGACTGACGACACAGCTTAATGCTCATTGGTTCAGACAACTGTGATGCTGTGTTCTCTTCTAAAATTTTGTATTTTTTATCTGGTTTCATGTGATTATGTATTTAAATTATGCATGAATATTTCCAAACAGTATGACAGTGCGATCTCTGTGTGAGATAATGTGATTGTTGTCATAGTTCTATAAAACTATAAAATAGGCCTACATGTTTCTATTAAAGTAAAAATGAATGATAAATACACCTTTCGTATGGAATTAAATAGCAAGCACTTTGAGTGTCTTGTTCATCATATTTATTTTCATATAAAAGCAACAGAACTGAAATTATATCAGGTTTATTAGCAACACAGCAGGTGAGTGTAAATAACGCGATATCCGCTTTTGATCTCGTTGGTATCTGTTCCCTTCGAGAGGGCAGAACTGTCCGTCTTGACTGCGCTTATTTCACTCCTCCCCTCACTGCAGCCGCCTACTCTCACCAACATTTCAGGCGAGGCGAGGCGCATCTCAAACAAGCCTAACTTCCCCCGTCTGCGCAGATATCAACAGCGCAACTGAGTTGTAGGATGCCAGGTTGAGGTCACAAATGATTTGTCTATTGTGTGAGTAGGACGCGTTTCATACAAGATCTGGCAACTGGACAACCTTGAAATAATAGCCTATATTGATGTGATTATTCATATAACGAGGTAGGGCCATACAAATTACGGAAGTTTCCCGGGAGAAATAACAAAACGGGAGGGGGGCGGGAGATGGGTCTGAAATACGGGAGACTCTTAACGGGAGTGTTGACAGTATGATTATTACACACATCAGAGTAAATGAGCGAGATTACTGTGATAGCAGTACATGTTATTTTGAGCAAGCCCTACTTATATTTCATTTTATTAATTGCTTTTAGGCTACTTGTTTATTTGTACATTTTTGTTTTACATTTTTTACACGAATCTTTTTTTTTTTGATAGTAGCCTAATGTACAGTTTTTGTGATTTAAATTAAAATCCATTTTTTAGAGAGTAACATGAAGAAGAAAATAAAATAAAAAAATTAGATGAAAAGCAACAGCTAAGACTATGTATTTATGACAGGAATAAACTATTAATCACAACCTGATCACAACTAATTAAGGTTTATTTAATGCATTAATGTAGTTCACCTGTTTCTCATATTCAGTGTTTTCTGGCAAGCCATTATAAAAGCCGATATAAACATTACCAATTCCTTCCTGTCTCATTATCTACAAAAAGGGATTTACAAAAGAACGAATCTTGTTCTGTAATTACACCCCATATCCCACAACCCGCGTCAGCGGTTTACTATTCGGGCTCCTGACTGCGCATGCGCCAAATCAGGACATTGGGATTGTGTACGCGTTTGGGTGGAACGGGTAAACACACTTTTTGTGTATTTTATTAATCTATTTTAAAGTCGCAGCCTTTTCTAATTATTATATACAAAACATATAGCTTCCGGCGCGTCGATGGTCATATTAATTTGTGCCGTTTCTATGTATAAAACCGCGTAGACAAGCTTCAGGCGATAGTCATCACGTAACATGGATTGAATTAGCGACACAATTTTGTATGCCTGTCATGTTTTTTTAACGTCTCTTGGCGGCAGCTTTACGTTTCTGTGTAGTGAAATAACAGTCGTTTTGTGCTTGTCAAATACGTACCTGTTTTTATTCGTGTGCTGACAATGATTGACTGTGTCCTGTACATGCTAGTAAGCTAACAGTCCTTGTGCCATACAAAATGATTTATGTTTTTGGACAGATTTTTACTGTTTTATTGTGACTTAACATACGGACACCGCTCTGTAGTGTTTTATGCCGAATTCCATCGAGAATGTTGATGTTGTTTTGACTTTGAGAAACTGAAAATGCATGATCACAAGTGATGTACTGTAAATGGGTGGTTGTTGATTAAATCTGTTCGTTTGTTCTGTCGTCCCCTAGGTCCAGTTTCCCTCTTTGAAAAGCTGCAGGAATCATGGGAGCCGGTGAGTCTTTTTATACTTTAGTTCTGCTAGAGACTATGTGATATTTTCAAGGATGTTGTTTTGTGTTTTTTAACGTTGCTAAGATATGTAGTGGGTGTGTATGCTGAGCCAGCTTGTGATCTCATGGATGTCACTTAAAGGTGATGCATCTTTCTGTCGGTAATTTCCAATTGGTATTAGTCAGTCACAGCTTATCAACAGGGGTCTTGGCCTACATAGCGCCTCTAATATTCAATCCATGCCTAATCAGATAATTATGGATCACAATGTAGCATCTGATTTATTTCTCCCACTCTCAATGCTGAAGAACAGTAGGCTACTTTTTCACAAGCTCCCTGTGCCTGGGAGGAACCTGCATTTCAACGAAATCACTTTGCCAGTCATAGCCCCCCTCCTTGTTTCTCTGCTGTGTGCTTATTGTTTGTGTATCCGCCAGTGTTCCTGCCAGCAGATGCCGCGCACTCGGTGCTGCGGAGGCTCCCGAGAGCAAACTTCTTCTTGGAGGAGATGAAACAAGGGAACATCCAGCGAGAATGCAGGGAGGAAATCTGCAATTATGAAGAAGCCAGAGAGGCGTTTGAGAATGATGAAAAAACGGTGAGTTTAGGGTAGATGCGAGCTTATGTTTTTGCATGAACTTGAACACAACGTCCTCTCCGTCATTACACTCCGTGGCATTTCCTCTAGGCAGGAAGTGAGCATTATCGACAGGAAAAGGCTCAGTGGATACACATTTTCTTAGGATGGTTAATTATGCATCATTCAGATTAAGGATGTTTGAGTTATGTACTTGTGGGCGTTTACACAGTTTATAAAAAATAACAGAACAATGTAAAGTTCGTATGTTTTTACGGAATGTGTGCTCTTGTCGAGTCCAGGGTAGGGCTGGATGAATTGGGGGAAAAAATATAATTGCTTTTATTTTTTCCGATGATTGTGATAAAAAAATATATATATCAATACAGGTTTGATGTGCTTGTTTGTAGATATGCACACATGCATGATTGGCCAAAAATATATTTGATAAGTGTGAATATAATTATTATTATTTGTACTTAATAAAAATATTAAAGGGGTCATATGATGCGATTTCCATTTTTCCTTTCTCTTTGGAGTGTTACAAGCTCTTTGGTTTAACCCAAATATCCAGATGTGTGCAGCACTTTTTATGGAGGACTGTTTAATGATCCTGGGAGAGTAGACTACAATGCCGGCAGTTCTGAGTCACAGCCTGTAAGTAAGAAATAAAGAAAATCAAGAATTTAAGAAAAATAATACAATAATTTTTTTACAGTAAAACTTTAAAATGACAAGATTCATATATATGGCATTCTTTTTCTTCATTTTCAAATGTTAAACTAGTTTTTATTTTGTTGTAAAACCTCAGAGAGCCTTTCAGCTTCTCTTTTGTTGACAACAGATGGTTTGTAAGCACTTCATATTGCTAATCTAATCGCTATTTCAGTTTTAATCCGATTAATTGTGCAAAGTTCAGAATTTAATAATGGCTTCCTTTTGAATCATGAATTTGAATTGGAAGAATAATTTACTAAATTGAAACAAATTCTGGACAATAAAGTGTTCTTCCACCCTTGTCCACAAAAGTTAATTATAAAAAAACAGAATACAAATTTCCATAGGTCTCATTTCAGTCTGTCTGTTGTTCTGTCTGTCCATCTGTCCTTCAAACTTCAGGGCTTTTTAAACTTTCTTCAAAACTTTTAAACAAGCCAAGATTCAAAGTTTGTTTTGACGAACTTTGCTTTACTAGTTACACATTTATTTTCTCCATAATCTCTTTTTGAAATTAATTCATTTAATTGTAGATTCGACATAATGTTTGCTACCTCAATTCAAATTCAGGAACATAATTGAAATGCAAAATTAATTCTCAGTTCAGTTCTGTATGGTGCACAGTCATTGCTTTATGTTGGTTTGCAAAGTTTTGGTTATTGATGACATTGAAGAGGGTGTGGTTTTTGTTTTCAATACAAACAAGTTTGTTTTGCTTATTATTTACATTTATGCAGACAATGTCCTTATCTAATTGGGTTTTTTTCTCCCTTACAGAGGCGATTCTGGGAGGAGTACCAGCGTGAGAGCAGCCCCAGGCCTGGAGGACTGGAATCCACCGCCGGTGGCATTCATTCTCTGTATCTGATCTTACCCCTGCTGCTGGTTTTGCTGCTCATTGCTGCAGTTTCCATCACGGTTTGGAGATGCCACTCACACAAAAGATCCCAGCAAAGCCCTGCCATTGGGCGTCCACAAAGAGACACAACCCTATCAGTGGTGTCAATGGACCAGTGGGGTCGGGACTACCATCCTGACATCAGTCCTCACTCAGAGATCAGTGCCCACAGTAGCCCCGCCTACCCTGGTGCTGACCTCACACCTGGGCGGGGCAGTCGGGGTGACCCGCCCCCTTCATACGAGGAAGCTGTGGGCCATACAGATATACAGATTGAAGCGGAGCCTCCACCACAATATGAAGACATCATCAGTAACCATGGTAACACAGTTATCATCTCCCAGGGAAAGTGACGGATCTTCCAGGCATGTTATCCAGCCTCATGTAGGGATGCATTTTGATGCCAATACACCAATACTGTAAACCCTGCCATTACTTACTCGCTGTGTCTTTCTTCTCTTTTATAGCTAATGTTTTGGCGGGATGTGAACATGCTTTGCCCGTTTATTTTTTTAGTACTAGAAATATTTTTTTACAACATCACTACTTCAGTGACAGGCTTTTCAACTCCAGCACTAGCAAAACAGCTAAACTTCTTTACTTAATGTGAAGAGAAAACAACTAATGCAATAACATTATCCTCAGTACTGTTACTCCGATATTGATAAACATTGAATTGCTTTGATTTCAGAGATGTTCGTAGAACTCCTAACAACATGAATCCTGATCCAAGCCCAAATCCAATGACGAAGTACTGTAATGTCATCAGCCATTCTTTCGAGTTAGTAAGTCCTATGAATGTCAGAACATCTTAGAAATGAACTGAACATTTGGTCAGTTGTGGCCTCTCATGGGATAATTAAAACATAATTGTAAATAATCAGATTCAGAGGGAAAAAATGCACAATATTTTCAGGAAGTATAAATTGTAATGTTTACTGACATTCAAGGTTCATTGTAACCTTTATCAATAGCCATCTAAACTTAGGCTATCTCTGTATAATTGCATAGACGTCACTATGCACTGGACTGACAGCCTCAATGAAATACTGATATTGGGTTGATTTTTTTTCACTAGTAGTTGAGGTGTTAAACACTGTGTGTTAGATTTAGTTAGCATGTTGGAAACATTTCAGCTGAATGGATAACAAGTTAACAGTGTGAATTTGCTGATAATACATTGCTGATAACATTGACCAAACAAATCCAATCCTGATTTTATGTAGCATCATGGTTGTTAATGCTGAATCAGCTTAACTGGGCACCAAGTCAACATGTGTGAGGTTTTAACTCCTATTTGGATTTGGGAAAATACAATACTGAAAGGAATAGTTCACCCAAAAATGGAAATTTGCTGAAAATGTACTCACCCTCAGGCCATCCAAGATCTAGATGAGTTTGTTTCTTCATTGGAACAGATTTGGATAAATTTAACATTACATCACTTGCTCACCAATGGATCCTCTGCAGTGAATGGGTGCCGTCAGAATGAGAGTCCAAACAGCTGATAAAAACATCACAATAATCCACAGGACTCCAGCCCATCAGTTAACATCTTGTGCAGTGAAAAGCTGCATGTTTGTTATGAACTAATCCATCATTAAAACGTTTTAACTTGAAATCATTGCTTCTGGCCAAAATATGAGTCCTCCATCCATAATAAAAATTTCAGTGAAACATTCTGATGGCACCCATTCACTGCAGAGGATATATTGATGAGCAAGTGATGTAATGCTACATTTCTCCAAATCTGTTGCGATGAAGAAACAAACTAATCTGTGTCTTGGATTGAGAGTGAGTACATTTTCAGAAAACTTTCATTTTTGGGTGAACTTTTCCTTGAACTATTGTATTGTGCAAGTGTGGTTTGAGGTTTGCCATTGAAGTCAAGCCACAGTGAGTTCAATGGCAAAACGTGGTGGACTAAATGGTCTATGCAAACAGTGCTTTCTTTTCTCTCCATAGCTTTGGAGCAGTTTACATGGTCACAGTCTTGTGAAATTTATTCTTTATTGTGGCCAAGGATTAAACAGGTATATCAAGCATCCCAAGCTGGGAATTCTAGGACAAGCAAGATGAATTGTCCATTGTGGAGGTAATTAGTAAGGAGCAAGAAGCATGCTTTTTGTTTGTTATGAGCTGTGTGCAGACTCTCTTTTAGATTTGTTTTAGGGTAAATAACTTGTTTTTTTGTTTTTTTCTCGAACCTCTTCGAGAATGTTGAAATATAACAATTATGACTTCCTTGACCATGCTGGTCGTTTTTATCTGAACTCTGGTATATTTTGAGTGTGTTGAAGGCTGTTTTCACACTTGGTTTGATTGTTTGATTCAACCCTTCTGCTTTCACACTGTAGTTTTGGGTCAGAATCGTGGTTTGTTTGCATTTACAATGCAAGTGTTAGCAGCAACTGTGTACCACTATAAATAGAGTGCTACAAAGCATAACTCTTTCCCCACGACAAATGACTTTTTGGTAACACTTTAACCTGACACCTTTATATATTATAAAGGTATTTATAATGTACATTGTAAAGCATTCTGTATTTTTATAAATAATTGTAACCAAAATTAAAATGCGTTATAATATTTGCAGATTCCTTGTTACATCTAAAATGAGTTGTTAATCATGTTTTAATACATAATATTTTGAAAAAAGTGTAACAATGAATAGGTAAGTATTGTGGTTACAATTATTCATGAGAACATACAATGCATTTTAAGGTGTATATATATATACGCTTCAGGTAAAGTGTTACTGATTTTACCTCCTGAAATGTCTCTTCAGACTGTTGATAAACAAGTTTGGATATTTTACACTAACTATTAGGTTGGGCTTGTCTGTGTGTTTAACAGCAAGCGTACATGTTTACCTCATACCATTTATTACTGATTTCTTACTCGGAGTCTAGTTTTCACCTCAGGCCCAGCTACACTAAACAAAAACCAAGAGAATTTCAGATTAGGATCAAATTATGGGAACAAGCAGTCCTAGTCGCCTAAAAAAAAAGAAAGAAAGAAAAAAAACTCAACAAATAGGAAATATTCAGTATTAAATATCAGGAAAGTGTGTGTTTATGGGTGTGTGTGGGGGGGGACGAAGAAAAAAAGAACAAAATGGAAGTGTCAACGCATTTGTACTTATTCAGTAACTATGAGTGAATGCACTTTTTTAGGGAACTGATTGCTCTTTGTAAAGGAATATTAATTGATGTGTAAGATGTGATAAATTACTTGAAAAAAAAAAAGGCAAATGCAGTTTGGTTTGTTCTTTTGGCTTTCTACAGTTTATATTCTCAGTTCTTCAACAACATGCTCAGCTGACATAAATATGCAATAAAATACATTCATGAGAACATACAATGCATTTTAAGGTGTATATATATGCGCTTCAGGTAAAGTGTTACTGATTTTACCTCCTGAAATGTCTCTTCAGACTGTTGATAAACAATTTTGGATATTTTACACTAACTATTAGGTTGGGCTTGTCTGTGTGTTTAACAGCAAGCGTACATGTTTACCTCATACCATTTATTACTGATTTCTTACTCGGAGTCTAGTTTTCACCTCAGGCCCAGCTACACTAAACAAAAACCAAGAGAATTTCAGATTAGGATCAAATTATGGGAACAAGCAGTCCTAGTCACCTAAAAAAAAAGAAAGAAAGAAAAAAAACTCAACAAATAGGAAATATTCAGTATTAAATATCAGGAAAGTGTGTGTTTATGGGTGTGTGTGGGGGGGGACGAAGAAAAAAAGAACAAAATGGAAGTGTCAACGCATTTGTACTTATTCAGTAACTATGAGTGAATGCACTTTTTTAGGGAACTGATTGCTCTTTGTAAAGGAATATTAATTGATGTGTAAGATGTGATAAATTACTTGGGGAAAAAAAAGGCAAATGCAGTTTGGTTTGTTCTTTTGGCTTTCTACAGTTTATATTCTCAGTTCTTCAACAACATGCTCAGCTGACATAAATATGCAATAAAATACATCACCAGCACTAACTCAAGAAACCTTTGTGAAAATCAAAACGGTCTCACTTTGCCTAAAGTTTTGTTTTTAAAGGTAATGTGAAATAAGATTACCATCTTTCGAAATACAGTCTGATTATGTTGCAAGTTTGGCTGACTTTCTGATGTTGCTGTACATGTGCAGGCTGATATTTCTGTAGTAGTTAGGGAGTGATTGTGGTATTTATTGCTTAAGCCTTACTCCGAGACAGATAATGTGTATATATAAATGTATTAAGAACAAATTTAATTTTTGTAATGATTGAGCTTGACTTTTATTTGTAATAAAGGTTTTTTGGCCCTCCTCTTGTCCCACTGCTCATTATACACGATAAAAAAAAAAGAGAAAATATTCAACAAGAACACATTAAATTGATCAAATATGACAGTACATACCTATATTTCAAATAAATTGTGGACTTTTGAATATTCAAGAATTCTAAAAAAAAAAATATATCAGTTTCCACAAAAATATTAAGCAGCACAACTATTCTCAACATTGATAATAGGGAAAATTTCCTGAGTGGCAAATCATCATATTAGTATCATCAGTGTTAGAAATGGCTGCTGAAAATTCAGCTTTGCAATCACAGGAATAAATGTATTTTATTTTAAAATTTAAAACAATCATTTTGAATTGTATCAATTCACATTATTACTGTTTTTACTTAAAAAAAACAATTTTTTTTTTTATCTACAAAGTTTGATAAAAGATCGGACAAATAATTTACCATGTTCCTATAGCATAATGTACAATGTATTTGATGTTTTTAAGTATTCTGTTTCAAGGTTTATAAATGCAAATGAATCACCAACTTCATTTAATGTTTAAAATTCATTTCAACATATCAATTAATGCTAAAATGCACCACATTTACAACCTGAATTACTTTGCATACATCCAAACAAGCACAAAGCGGTAGCTCTATGTTGTAACTTATTAACTTTGAGTAAACTGATGAATATTGTTTAACCATGCCAAATGTGAACTTGAATACATATCATGCAGTTTTCTTATTTGTAAAAACTATTAACGGCATGTCAGAACTGATTTTTTTTTAGGTTTATAAACAACTAGACTACTTTATTGACCAGATTTACAGTATAGTATATCACATTAAACCACATATAAAAACACTTTATTATTTTGTAATACACAGAATATCAACATTATAATGTCCTGAGAATACTCCTAATTATGATTCCTTTTTTAAAGGGGTCATATGATGCTTTTTTAAAGATCATTATTTTGTGTATTTGGTGT